TCACACTTGTGCTAGAAAGAATCTGAGGTGGGGTCTGAACCCAAGGCTTCCCATTACTGTATCTACAACTTCATGACATCCCATCCCCTTTACATACTCCTTTGCATTTCCTATGCTTTAGAAGTTTGAAAAAGCTATAGAAATAGTTATTGCTTTCCTTCCATGCACAGGAGGGCCTGGAGGAGAAGAGTGTGGGAAGGGTTGGGGGATGTTAGAAACCAGGAAGTCTGGCCTTTTAATGGATTCCCCTTCCCCAAGGGCAATGGATCTCTTATCATTTTGTCTGAACTTGTTCTTGGAGCTCTCCGTGGACTTGTCAGGTGGGGTCAGATAGAGAAAACGGCTCAGGGATATATATATAATATAACGTAAAATGATATGGTATGATATGATATAATTTGATATAATATGATAGGATAGGACATGACATGATATGATATGGTACAATATGATATAATATGCTATGATATAATACTGTATGACAGTACAACGTAACGCAATGTAACGTAACGTAACGTAATGTAATATAATATAATGTAGTTCTTGGGGACAAGGGTGGGGGACAACTCCTTCTCATTCATCCATAGAAGTATGGAAATTCCAACCAAATAGGAGTCAGTCCAAAAACTTAGGATCATGGGAAAGACTCAGTCCAAATCCCCTCATTAATTAAGGAAATTAAGGCCCAGCAAGAGAAAGAGACTTGCCCAAGGTCACACTGGTAATACGTAGCAGGGTTGGAATTTGAACCCAAATCCTCTGACTTCAAGTTCATCTTTTTTTTTTTTTCTGTTAGATGCCACCAGATTGCTCTCTTCTCTGGGCAAAGGCTCCAAGGCAATCTTCTACCAGACCAGGACCCTTCCTTATATCCCTCCCTCCCCTACTGAGAGTTAAGAGTATTGCAAGTAGAATAAGAAAGTTCAAGGCTCCAAGCCAACACTTACTATCTGTATGACCACCGATGAGTCATTTTACGTCTCTGTTATCTCTAAAAGTGAGTCTAATAATACATGTACTCTGACTCATAGGGTTGTTGTCATGAGAAGAAACGTGCTTTTGAAATGTCAAAGACATTTGCAAAATTATGCTTAATTAGCATTCCACTCCGCTGAAGTCCTTCTCCACTTCCTTTGTGAAATGTGGAGGTGACCATGGTTCTGGAAGTCTATCCCAGTGGAGCTTAAATAGGGATGTGCTGGGAGCCAATGTGAGAGCTGATTGCTAACTTTTTAGCGTGAGCATTTATGCCTTAGAAATTGGGCAAATGCTACAAATCAGGACTTGATTTGTTTTAATTCTCTAGACTTAAGAAAGTGTTAATAATGCAGACAATTAATAATTATCAGTAAACAAACTATTAGATTAAAAATAATAATGCAGACTAAACTTAAATGTGTGTCATGCATGCTTACAGATTTTCCAGCCAGCTGGTTGTTAAATATTTACTAGTACTCCCTTGCTCAAAGCTCTAGTAGGTCCAACCAAATTGGAAAGGTTTCATATATGGGCCTGGCAATGTCAATTTCTCTGAGCCTCAGTTTCCTCACCTATAAAATGGGAAAAGTAATACTGTCATTAGCTACCTCATCATGTCGATGTGGGGAATGAATGTGTCATTAGGCCAGATGACAGACCGTATTGTATCACTATAGAATTAGCTTAGGCAAGTTCATTTCCTTTTGAGGTTGGTCATAGTTTGATAGGTTTTTCAGTCACAGTAACAGTAAATCATAGAAGAGTTGGTATGAGCAGAATTACAGGTTTTTTTTTAAGTACTGGACTATTATATTAGGTGACTGAATGGCAGTAGAAATATCTAAGGTTACTCCATTGTTGACCTCAACTTGGTTTTTATTCTCCTCCCCTCCTTTCTGCTTCAGTCTACCCCATTTCTTCTTCATGGAATTGAATTCTCTCTTGCTTCTTCTCTGCCTTTTCAAATTCAACCTCTTGGGGGTGCATCAGCAATGGCTTCCAGAAAGACCTTAACTTTTGCTGGTCTTCATCTCCTGACTGCCAGAACCTCTCAGGGTCTAGCTCCAGATCATAGTGTCTCATGTTAAAACGGACATTGATAACAGGGGCTTGCTCAGAGAATGGAGACCAAGATGGAGGTCAGGATGCACATAGGAGAAATTGGAGAAATGGGAATGTTTGGCCTGGGAAAGAGAAGGTTTAAGAGGCACATGATAGCTGTCTTGAAGTTGTTGAGAAACTGCCACGTGAAAAATAGATTAAATTTGCTCTTGTTTGGCCCCAGAAGGAAGAGCTTGGCACACTGGGGAGAAGATTCAAAGAGGTAAACTGAGGCATGATGTCAGGAAAATCTTCCTAACAATTAGAGCTTCCTAACAATTGAAAAGTAGAATGACTTACTCCAGACAACATCCTCATCATCCTCATCATCATCTCTATCATTTACATAGTACTTTAAGGTTTGCAAAGTGCTTTACATAAATTAACACATTCGATTTGACTTGTGAGGTAGATGCTATTATTATCCCAGTTTCACAAAGGAAGAAACTGAGGCTTAGAGTGATTAAGTGACTTGCCCAGGGTCACACAGCTAGTTAGTGTCTGGGGCAGGAATTAGCCAGACTTTCCTTTCTCCAAGTCTAGTGATGTCAAGCTGATGATTATTGATAGGACATCCAGGAGGAGATATAGGGACCAGGACTGATCATAGGAAGGTCCCTGAGTTTCCCAGGGGATGGGCCCTCGGCTTGCTGCCCCACCTTCTTTTCCCAGATCTGAGGCTCCCTGCTCACAGCTATTGCTTCAGAGTACTCAGTGAATAACTAATTAGCCAGCTTTTCCCTGGACCTCAGACACTCCTTATCCTGAGGGAGCTTTTGCCTTAACATTTGTTGAAAGAATCCACAGAGGTCCACTAGTCCAACCCATCCTGGAGCAAGAATCTCTTCTACATCACCCAGTCCAAAGATGTTCCTCACTTCACTTAAGACCTTTGTAAGCATTCCAGTCGTTAGGAAATCCTTCCAGACATCAAACTTGAGTGCCTCTTCCCGACCTGCACCCATTGCTCTCAGTTATGCCCTCTGGAGCCAAGCAGAGCAAAGCTTTTCCCACCTGACAGCCCTTAGAAATCCTTAAACATAGTTATCTTCTTTATTTCATTCCTTCTTTATCTTTCTCTCTTTCCTCCCTCCCTCCCTTCTTCCTCCCTTCCTTCCTTCCTTCCTTCCTTCCTTCCTTCCTTCCTCCCTCCCTCCCTCCCTTCCTTTCTTTTTTCCTTCTTTCTCTTCTTTCTTCCCTCCCTCCTTTCTTTTTTCCTTCCTTCCTTCCTTCCTTCCTTCCTTCCTTCCTTCCTTCCTTCCTTCCTTCCTCTCTCTCCCTTCCTCCCTTCCTTCTTCCTTCTTTCCTTTCTTTCTTTTTTCTTCCTTCCTTTCTCTCTCTCTCTCTCCCTTCCTTCTTTCCTTCTTTTTTCTTTTTTCCTTCCTTCCTTCCTTCCTTCCTTCCTTCCTTCCTTCCTTCTTCTTCCTTCCTTCCTTCCTCTCTCTCCTTCCTCCTTCCTTCTTTCCTTTCTTTCTTTTTTCTTCCTTCCTTTCTCTCTCTCTCTCTCCCTTCCTTCTTTCCTTCTTTTTTCCTTTTTCCTTCCTGTCTTTCTTTCTTCCTTCCCTCCTTCCCTCCTTCCCTCCTTCCCTTCTTTCTTTTTTCTTTCTTTCTTTCTTTCTTTCTTTCTTTCTTTCTTTCTTTCTTTCTTTCTTTCTTTCTTTCTTTCTTTCTTTCTTTCTTTCTTTCTTCTTCCTTTTTTCCTTCTTTCCTTCCTTCCTTTCTCTCCCTCTCCCTCCCTCCCTCCCTCCCTTCTTTCCTTCTTTTTTCTTCCTTTCTTCCTTCCTTCTTGTCTTTCTTTCTCTCCTTTTTTCTTTGTCAATACAGGCCCAGGTAGACAGTTTATTTAAGGAGTTATTCAGCAAAGAGAGGGATACCTTCTTGGCTGGTTTTAGGAATAAAAGCACACAGAACTCTCTGCCCACCCTTTGGGGTCCAGTGCCTCAGTGCAACCTTCTTTGATTGCTTCAGTTTCCCAAGATCTCTTCTTATATTGCCATTCCAATAGCACTTCTCATTTACACCTACAACCAAGATCTCACTCTTTTTACTTCATGTTATTTTGTGATTACCACATTTTAGGAGGAAATCCTGGCTCCTCAATGAGACTGGAAGCTCGGAAAGTAAGGACTGGAGAACTTTCTCCTCCTCTGGTCTCCCTTGAAGTACATGGAGCCCAGACTGAGTGCACAGGAAGTTCAGCAAAGCTTCAGTGACTGATTGAGGGAGATGTCCAAGAGCACTATAATCAGATTTTAGAGTTTTAAAGAAAATTAGAAGTGATTTGGAGAAGCTAGGTGAGGCAGTGGATATAGTGCCAGGCTTTGAGTCAAGAAGACCTGAATTCAAATTCAGCCTCAAACACTTACTAATTGTGTAACCCTGGGCAAGTCACTTAACCCTGTCTGCCTCAGTTTCCTCATCTGTAAAATGATCTGGAGAAGGAAATGGCAAACACTCCCATATCTTTGCCAAGAAAACCCCAAATGGAATAACAAACAGTTGAACAACTGAAACAATTGAACAATGATGGAAGTTAGTTCAAACACTTCATGCCAAGAACTTTGGAGGGAAAGGTGATTGTCTAACATCACGTATATCATAAGGAGAGTTACCCAGAATTCAAGTTTGAGTTGTCTCACTCCAAATCCAGTGTACTATTCAATATTCTTGGGAAAAGAACAGATTTTCCTTCTTCCATGGGATCCATACCCAACCCTAGGAGGCTGCCAATAGGCAGGGAAAACCAAGGGGTTGGGTCTGGCAGGGGCATGAGCAGGCTGAGGCACATTCCGGGGATGATTCAGTGATCCTAGATCCTACTGCTGATTAGCTGGACCTGTGCCTGAGGCCCAACTTCCCCTTTCCCCTCACCACCACCCCCTTCCTATCCCATAGCCTGTCCCCAGATGGGGCTATAAGACCTCTGCAGGGAGAGGAGGGGCCCTCATTCCACCTTGGGTGTGATCTCAGCAACATGAAGTCTCTCCTGATGCTCCTGGCAGTGGCAGCTATCACCATAGGGCAAGGTGAGGGGGTGAAAGTCTGGGGACACTATGGGGCTTGGGGCTTCTTGGGTGGGGGGGAGATAGTGATTTTGCCCTGGCCCCTGAACCCTGCCTTCTCATTGGGTGATGGAATCATACTCCTCTAAGTCTATGATTTCACTGGTATGAGCATTTTAAAAAATGCAAATCCTAACTCTTCCATACTTTAGCAAAAAGTTTCATAAATTATTGTAGTAGATGAAAAATTCATCATCTGGTAACCAATTTATGTGACAGGGCCATCATCACTTACCTAGGCTGGTCTGTGGATGACAGACACAGAGTCCATCACTAGGTCCATATTTTCTTTTTTGGCAGAACCTGCCAGGGATTGAGGTCAATTGAATAGCTTCTCAAAGTCCACGGTCATCCCCATAGCATAAGGAGTGGTTGAATCATAAAATGAAAAGATTAAGAACTTGAGAATATTACAGCTATCTGGGCCATAGCATATCAGAGCCAAGAGGAGACTTAGAATGTAAAGCATATGATTGGGTATTGAATATTATTATTAAGTTCTTAGAACACAGAATGTCAGAGCTAGGTGGAAATTTAGATCACCACGCTCAACCTCTTCTTCTTAAGAATGGTGGAAACTAAGGACCAGAAATAGAAACTGCCTTGCCTGTGTAGAAACAGCTGTAGCTAACTTTTCATATAGTATCTTTACTATGATATAGTACCTATAATATATAATATATAAATACTATAGTGTCTATTCTCTCTCTTTCTCTCTACCATAGTATCTATACAATAATATCTTTTCAGGAATTAATACTAATATTAATTCTCATGCCTATGAAACTTCATAGTTTACCAGTTTCATGAGACAATTCTAAGAAATATATAGTATGAAGACAATTATGTCCATCTTACAGATAAAGAGACTTAGGGTCAAAGAGGATGTTACACAGCTAATATAGAATTAATTCAATTCAACTGCACACAACTGACCTCTGTTTATCCAACTCAATTCAACACAATTCAATGGATTGTAATTTGGTTGAATCAGAGGGGGGTTAAAATTCAATTTAATTCATTTTCAATTCAATGTAATTGAAATAATATCAGAGGGGGAACTAGAATGTAGAATTTCTGACTGTAGGTTTAATGCTCTCTTTATTATTCAACACGATTTCTCTCAGGTGAATAGCTTTTTTTTGGGGGGGGGTGCATTTTAACAAGAGTGTGACATTCTAGATACATAGAATGATTTCTAGTCTTATCTCTGTCCCTCACCATGTGGCCTTAGGTAAGTAACTCTCACTTTCTAAACCTCAGTTTCCCCACTTGTAGACCCTATTAAAGATCAACTTTTAAAAGCATATTATGGACTTATGGTGAGGGGTGTGTGCAGGAGTCTACAATTATTTTGACCTTCATTGGAACTTGATCATTTTAACCTCAGGCCCAGCGTAGTCCCTTTCTCCAATGGTCGCTAACATCCTCTCTTGTCCACTTCACACACCCTGCTCCCAACAGTGACCCCTGCTGCCACCTGGGGACCAAGAACAGAGATTTCTCTCTCTGATCTCTCCCTCCTCTCTTCCCCCTCCCCCACCATCTACAACATCTGTACCCAGTTAGTATTGATTTCAACTATGATTTCAGGAATGACGATAGTTTGTGTTTGATTAATAAGTATGCATGTGGCTGTGGGTAACTGGTAGTGGGTGATCTTGTCTGACCTCAGAGTTGTCTATGTATATGTGGTTATGGTGATAGTGCAAGAATGAGTATGGTCGTGGGTGTATCTGTGGGGGTTTCTGTATGACTGTATGTGGATGAGTGTGGGATTGGATCTTAGTGTAGAATCTTAGTAAATCTACTTAATTATGCACGATAGTGTTTGTGGTCGTGTACAAATGAGGAAGAAGGTAAGTGATCACTGGCCAAACATGGAGGAGAGGTCTTCTCTCCTGGCTTGCCTCTCTAACATCCCTCTCTTTCCTCCAACCTCATATCTGGGGGCACAGAGGCTCTCAGGGGGATCCCTTCACTTCTACAAGACTTCTTCTGTCTCCTTTCTCTCAGTTCTTTCCTGAGACTCTCTCTATTCCTGAAACCCTCCTTATATTTACTATATTCCAGCTCCACTTGCCCAGCTCAATCCTGGAGCCCTTCTATTACTATTGGGATCATCCTATCTGACAAAAAGGGGAAGGTTGGATAAAAGATTTGTCATAGAGAGTTCAGTGGGGAAGGAAGGAGAGAGACAAAAACAGAGAGAAATGAGAAGAGACAGCTCTCCAATGGACCTCACAGGCCATCTAGCTCACTGCCTCCCTCCCAATTTTATAGAGAAAGAAATTGAGACCCAGAGATACAAAGTAACTTGCCCAAGATCACACAGGTAATAAGTGTAGAGGGGAAAGTTAAACCCAGGTCCTCAGGCTCCAGACAGTGCCTTTTCTATAGTGTAAGACAGTGGTGGAAAACGAAAATCTTTGGAGGAAAAGGGTGACCTGGAGTCATTTTAATTCAACTCAATTCAATTCAATTACAACATACATTCATTTCAATCTTGTTCAACTGAATTCAATTCAACCCAAAATCAATTCAATCCAATGCAATGAAATTAGTCAGTGGAATAAAATTCAAATGAATTCTATTCTATTCAATTCAATTGACCTTTCTCCATTTATTAAGTCAACTCAAACAATTCAATATTTCTATTTAATGGAATGAAAGTCAGTTCAGTTCAATTAATTTCAACTCAACTCGTTTCAGTTGAACTTGATTTATCTCAGGACATTGACTGAGCACCTGCTCTATAGTCTGTGATTAGGGCTACAAGAGAGGAAGAAGATATAGTCCCACTTTTAGAGATGAAGTGGCATTAATAATACTTGTACGGCTGACCTCTCAAAGTAATTGTGAGAATCGAAAGAAGAGGGAAACACATGTTTATTAAGCACCTACTATGTGCCAGGCATTATGCTGTGCTAATTTATAAATATTATCTCATTTGATCAGAGCTAACAGACTGAATAGAAAATATTTTATCAACATTAACACTGTCTAATATTTACTGTTATTATTATAGGCTACTGATTTTCCAGATGAGGAAACTTAAGCCCAGATATGTGAAGATCATGTTAAAGTCAGGACTGGAACATAGGTCTATTATCTTCCTACGGTCAACACTGCTTTGCAAAGCAGCTGTTTGTAATTAAAAGCTGGTGTGCATATGAATACGATATTTTTTGGATAAAGTTTTGAGATGTACTCTTGCCTAAAAGTATTTTTGAAAATATTCAGTCAACAAGCAAATATTTATTAAGCCTTACTGTACTGGAAACTGAAAGGCAAAAACAATCCCTGCCTATGGGGTGCTCAAATTCTAACAGGAGAGACAAAATGTACGACAGCATAAACGAGATAGATACCGAACAAACTGGGGATAATTTCAGTGGAAAAGATATTAGTTTTAAAGGAGATTAAAAGCCTCTTGAAAAAGCAGGGATTTCCCCTGAGACTTGAGGAAGCCAAGAAGAAGGACTGGTCCACGGCACCGGCAAGCTGGGGGACGTTCCTGAATGTTGTGTGTTGAGGGCGGGGTGCTAAAATAGTAGATAGTCAAGAAACTGTGTATTTTAAAAGCACAAACATAAACTTTGCCAAAGGCAGCGCCAGATCGAGAGGACTCACCTCGTGGAAGAAAAGGTAGAACCCCCTAACAATGAGAGGCATGTTTGTCTGTGAACTGAAACCTACAGCTGCTTTGTCGTAGAAAATGGGTAACTAGGTGGGACCATGGATTAACACTGGGACACGGTGAATCACATTTCTCCAAAGCTTTACTTTTGGATTATGAGGCTATATATAACATGGGAGCCAGTGGGTGGCCGAATGTCCACATTTCAAGCCAACTAAGCATGGGAGGGGCGGGGTGGCAGATACAGTCATGGGAAGCTGGCCTCAGAGTCAGAAAGACCTGAGAACAAGTCCTTTGACACATACTAGCTGTGTGACCTTGGGCAAGTCACTTAACATTTTGGTAGACCCAGTTAGAACAGAGAGTTGTCTCTACTGAAATTCCCTACATCAATGAAATCACAGGTCTGGGAGAAAAGAGGAAAGGAGAGAAAGATGGAGAGAGACAGAAAGATAGAGAGAGACACACAGAGAGACAGAGAGAGACACAGACACACACAGACACACACACACATAGACAGACAGAGACAGAGAAAGAGACAGACAGACAGAGAGGGAGAAAAGTGGATTGGACTGGACTAGGGACTCAGGACAGCTGAGTTCTATACTATGCTGTAGTAGAAAGAGAACATGATTCAAACCTCAGTTTACTACTTACTGTGGTCTTGAGTCAGTAAAACTCTCTAGTCCTCAGTTTCCTTATCTGTAAAATGAAGATATCTCCAAGGACTCTTTCAGTATGCTCTTCCTCTTGGCTATGCCGCTGGCTTGCTGTGTGACCTCGTACAACTCTCTTTCCTTCTCAGAGTCTCAGTTTCCCATCTGTAAAATAAGGGATTGGTACTGAGTTGGAAGGCCACCTGGTTTAACTCATACCACCTCCCAAAATCCTTCCTAATACACTTCCTACAAATGCCTGAAAATCTTTAGTGGAGGGGAATCCCAAAAGTTGTAACTAGGAATTCTAGGAGAAAATTCAACTACCACCCACTTAACTCCATTAAGTTCTTTTTTCCTCTCTAGACTGAACATCTACCGTACTTTGCCTAATTGTTTTTCACAAAGCTTAACTTGAAGGACCGTCACTACCCCAGCTGCCTTCCTTTAGAGAACTGTCCTCTCCCAATCACCAATGCCCTTCCCAAATGTAGCAATCACAACTGAAAACAGTGCTTCATCTGTGCTCTTACAAGGTCAACATGCAGGGGGGACCATCACTTCCCGGGCCTGAGATGCTGCACCTCTCTGGGAGTAGCCTAAGATTACATTTTGTTTTTTTGGCTGCCATATCACATTATTGGTTCAGATGGACCTTGCAGTCCACTAAAACTTCTATTTGTTTTTTCCACATGAATTGCTGTCTACCTATATTTCACATGCCTTGTACTTGGGAAGCTGATTTTTTTAACCCTTTTGAAGACTCTTATTTGAATTCCGTTTTGCTAGGTTTAACTGAACATCCTAGCTTGATGAGATGATTTTTTTGCTCCCCGATCTGTCATCAAACATGTTATCTATCCTTCTAGTCTTTGAATCTTGGGTCTTAGGGGGCCCAAGTGAGTAGCCTTAGGTCACAGGTAGCTAGTAAGTATCTGAGGTGGGATTTGAACTCATGCCTTCATGATTCTAAATCCAACACTCTTACCTACTGTGCCACCTAGCTGGACACACACACACACATGTACACACACATATATGTACATATACATATGCTAACACATATATGTATGACATATACATATATGTGTACATAGATATGTATATACACACATATTGTCTCCTCTGACAAAATATAAGCTCTTGGGGGGCAGAGAGTATTTTTCTATTGTCTTTGTATCCCTAGCACATAGTAGGTGCTTAATAATGGCTTGCTTTGATTGGTAAATCAGAAAGGGAAGGCTGATTCTTGAGAATCATTGAAGCAAAGTTTGGAGAAACACTTGTCAGGGATCTATAAGGGAATTCTTGCTTGGGTGTGGGTCGGACTAGATGTCCTCCAGGATTTCTTGCATCCTTGATAGCCTGTGATTCTGGGACTCTAGGAAAAAGCCAAGGAGAGGCCAAGAAAGAGCAGTGGGTGAGAGGAGAAGCTGGAGAAAGGGCTCTAGCTCAAAATGTGTCTTTGGAGCCACACATAGTTGTATTCTGTGTCTGCCTCTGTCTCCAGGGCAGAGCTCATGTCTGTTCCCTTTTAGGGAGGGAGAGATGGGGTTGTTGGGGCCTGGCAGAGAAGCTGTGGTTTCCCCAATTCTACCCCCACCCTTACTCCAAACCAAGGAGACAGGAAAGGAAGGGGGGGTCAGGATGCTGAGGACTGAACCCAGAAAGGATCCCTGAGGTATCCCCTCACCCAAGATCTTTGTATGAACCCATTGAGCCCTGGGCCATCTGATGTATCCCTCTTGTACTTACAGCCCAAGCTCTCCAATGTCACGTCTGTGAAAGTGCTGACAATTGCAAGAAAGCAATCCTCTGTCCCGGTTCTTCTCACTTCTGCAAAACAACCATCAGCTGTGAGTATCTGAGAAAAGGTGGAGAGATGCTTCCTTCCATACTCCTCATCCCCTTCATCTCCCAGTCTGAGACAGAGATAGGAGCTCCTTGAAGATCCTTAGAGGCAGCAGACTTAGGACAGAGGAGACCTTATCCGCTAGGGGGATCATCTAGGACTGGTGGAGTAGAAATCCTAGTCAGGGTGGGATACTCTCAGCCAGAACTAAATGGGAGGATTTGACTACTAGTGACAGAGATGGTGATGGTAGAGATGGTTGATATTGATGATTATGGTGATGGTATGAAGATGATGATAGCAATGGTGGTGATGGTGATGGTCATGACTGTCATGGTGATAATGGTAATGGTGGGATAGTAATGGTGAGGATGGTTGTGTTTGTAATGAGGGGATGGTAAAGTGGTGGTGGTAGTGATGGTGATGATGACTTCTAAAATGTGGGCTCATTTGAAAGCACTGCCCATAGTAGCCAGAACTTGTAGAAAAGTGTTAGAGGTAGGCTGAGGTCTGGGATTGGAGGGAGACTAAGTTTCAGAGAATGGAGAACTTGATTTGGGAAATTAAAGAGTTGGTGGGAAGACTCCAAAAGGTGTGTGTAGATGATGTGTATGTAACTGTCTCTTCTCTTCCTGTCTCCTCCAGTCCAGCGATTGTCAGGGAACCTTGTGAAGAAGGAATGTGCTGACTACTGTGCTGCACAGAATAGTGATGCGGGTCAGACCCAACCCCAGATCCGGTGCTGTACAACAGACCTGTGCAATGCTGGAATTGAGAACTCAGCTCCCATCCCCACGCTTCTCAGCCATGCTGTCCTGGCCCTCAGCCTTACCCTGGCCCTGGTCTCTATTCTCTACTGACCCAGCCTGTAACCTATGGGAGCCTTAGCCAGGCCACAACCCACCCCCCACCCCAAGCCTGTCCTGGAAGGTTCTGAGCCTTCTCTCCACACAACTCCAGCCCAGCTCTATGTCCCTCCCCAATCCATTAACTTCCTCTCCAAACTCCTATTAGTCTCCCAGGATAAGGGGCACATAAGGAAGGGGGTCTCATTACTCCCAGGGGTCCAGGAAGTCAGTTCTGCTCCTTACTTCCCTCAGAACATAAACATCTCAACTGTCCACTCAGAGAGTCACCCTCACTAGGCGCTCCTGCCAGATCCGTCCAGGGACTCAGAGATCCTGGCCCATTAATCAGGATCACTTCTCAGCAGACCCTTGGATTTCACCTGGCGGTGGGGAGAAGAAAGGGGAGGAGGGAAGATCACCACATGGTGTAGTGAAAAGAGAAATGGATTTGGAACCTGGAGAACTGGGTTTAAATCCTGATTCTGTCATTTACTGGTTGTATGATCCTGGGTAAGTTGCTTCAATGGGTCTCAGTTTCCTCATCTATACAATGAAAAGAGTGGACTCAAATATCTTTAGAGTTCCCTCCAGCTCCAAAATCCTGTGTTCTCTAAGAGGTATTGGGATGAGCAGGAGGACAGAGATGGGGAAATCATTTCAATCCCACCAACTTTTGTATTGTTTCTGTTAGCTCGAATTTTTATTTTCTACTCAATAATAACAAATGACTGAAAAGAAGACAACAAAGTCATGTCTTTATTTATTGGGTGTGGGAGGGAAAAGGGAGGAGGCAGTCCTGGGATGGGCTGGCAAGGCTCTCTGGGACTCACTGCGGGCAGTGGCTTGGCAGGGTTAGATGAAGAGTTAGAGCCCCATTCAACCCCTCTGGCATCTGTCAGCAAATACTCTGAACCGTGGAAGAGCAAGGAGGAAGGTGTGTGCACATATACACACAGATACAAACCCCAGAATAGAACCTTGAAATATATGTACACCCAGAAAAAACACATAGGAACACATGTTGTATGCCCCATAGCATGACATCATAGTACAGGGTTGGACTTGGAAATCTGGGAATACTGGGTTCAGATTCTGGTTCAGATATTTATTACCTGTGTAACTTTGGTTACATCATTGAACCACTCTGGGCCAGACTTTTCTTATCAACCAAATGAAGAGGTCAAATTAGGGGACCTTCAAGGTCCCATCTAGCACTAAATCCATATTCCTACAACAGTATGATAAACACTTATCAAGCCTCTGCACATTTAAGACCTAAACAAAATTTAAATCAGATGTAATCCTTATCCCTCAGGAGCTTGGGTGTCTAACCCAAGCCACATCTGCATGTATGCACATAGAAATGCACATAAAAATAAACCAGGGGTATGAAAGTAAAACAAATGGAAACATAAGTACATATGTGCAACATGCATATGCTCACCAACCAACACACATATGCCCCTTTCCTGAAATTCTCATCTTAGAGCATTAGCTATGCTTGTGGGTTGTTTGGAGACTTTTTTAGTTGGCAAATATATGACCATTGAGCCATTCCCTCCCACATCCCTCAAGCTCCTTTGTCCTAAAATTACCTTCCCATGAGAAGTGTGGGGCATGTTCAGGGAAGACTAGTGCCTCTGCTGAGAGGGCTGCTTTCCACCTTTGTGTTCACCTGATTCACCATAACTTTTTTTCTTTATTTATTTCTCTTGATTTCTTTTTCTTTCTTTCTTTCTTTCTTTCTTTCTTTCTTTCTTTCTTTCTTTCTTTCTTTCTTTCTTTCTTTCTTTCTTTCTTTCTTTCTTTCTTTCTTCTTTCTTTCTCTCTTTCTCTTTCTTCTTTCTCTCTTTCTCTCTTTCTCTCTTTCTCTCTTTCTCTCTTTCTCTCTCTCTCTCTCTCTCTCTCTCTCTCTCTCTCTCTCTCTCTCTTTCCTTCTTTTTTCTCTTTTCCTCCCTTCCTTCCTTCCTTCCTTCCTTCCTTCCTTCCTTCCTTCCTTCCTTCCTTCCTTCCTTCCTTCCTTCCTTCCTTCCTTCCTTCCTTCCTTCCTTCCTTCCTTCCTTCCTTCCTTCCTTTGTAATTCACCTAACTCTTATGTGTGATTCCAAAAAGCTTTAGTATGCACAGTGGCCACACCCCAGTAGACTGTTTCAGTAGCAGGCTAAACCAGGTTGAGGGTAACCAAGGTGTCTCAAACCCTTCAGCGAATTAGGAAGGTGTCTAACTCAAGCATATGAAGACTTCCCCAGGTGGAATAGACAGATGAGAACAATTTGTTCCAGTGGCCATGAAGGCAGCTGAAGTAGGCACTGTGGAACATGGAGAGCTTGGTCAGACATCAAAGATGCCAAGGTCATCCACTGCATCCCCAGCCATCGCTAGATATCTTGACTTTGTCTTGCCACTGGGCTTTGGTGACTGTAGAAGAGAGAGTGAGGCCAGTGACTTTGCACAACTCTGCCTCTATTAAACCCAATTGATCACAAATCAAAAGACATTACCTATACCATTTACCATTTTCACCTACCTCAAAGTCCTGTGGTGACAGGCAAGTGATGAAGCAGCAGGTACAGATACACTGGGAGCTGTAGCCACAACCCTGCACACAGGCAGCCCAGGCCACAGGATCATCTTCTTGCTGGACTGAAGGAGCAGTGGGATTCAGCAGCTTCCTGTGTGTCTGAACGGCCTTTTTTAAGGACCATACTGCTCACTTACTGGTGTAAGGAAGCAGCTAGGAAAGGCACCCTAAAAATTGTCTGCTTCACCCACTCTTGGCCTGCTTACCATGGCAGGTGGGAAATCCCACCCTGTGATCAAAACAAAAAATATACAAAAACTTTTGCAAAGATGATTCCACTCACCACTGGTACATGGAATAAGTACACACTTATGGACAACACAAAATCCAATAAATGTGAAAGATGAACAGCTCTTGTTATGAGAGAACTCAGCAGGTATCACATCCAAATAGCAAGGCGGGCAAATGAAGGCCAGCTTACTGAAGTCAAAGCTGAACACACATTTTTCTGGAGTGGCCACAACAAAGGTGAGCACCGTGAAGCTGGCGTAGGTTTTGCAACCAAAACTGATCTAGTCAACAAGGTTGTATGCCTCCCCAAAGGAGTAAACAACAGACCCATGATGATGCAATTGCCACTTGCAGGAAAATGTCCTACCACCATTGTCAATGCATATGCTCTCACCATGATGAATCCAGACGAGGTCAAAGAAAAATTTTATGAAGCCCTGGAGACTCTCATCATCAATGTGCTGAAAGAAGACAAGCTTATAATTCTGGATGACTTTAATGCGAGAGTAGGCAGAGACTACTAGACGGGGCAGGGAATCTTTAGAAGGAATGGAGTTGGAAACAGCAACGTCAATGGTCACTTACTACTGAAGACTTCTGCATCTCATTACCTTCTCATCACCAGCACTGTCTTTCATTTACCTAAACACAAAAAAGCTTTGTGAATGCACACTCACAGCAAACACTGGCATTTAATAGACTGTGTCATTGTAAGGAGAAGAGACAGACAGGATGTGAGAGTGACAAATGCATCGTGTGGTGCAGAGCGCTGAACTGGCCATGGACTTATCCCCTCCAAGCTAAATGTTTGCATTCAACAAAAGCTGTGACCCCAAGATAAGATGACTACTAGAAGACTTAATGTTAACAAATAAGAGCACTTCTCCAAGCAGGAACAACTCATTGCTAACTTGGAGGGAAAGTGGAGCAGAAAAGGAGTGGGTATCTTTCAGAGATTTGGTATGCAGCATTGCATTTACTCATCTGGGCCAGAACACTTGCAAACATCAAGATTGGTTTGATGAAAATGATGGGGAAATTCAGAAGCTACTAAAAGAAAAACGAGAACACAGTGCTTACCAGCAGGATAGTTCATCTGTCTCTAATAACACTTAATCCATCAAAAGCAAAGTATAAGGAAAGCTTAGAGAGATGCTGGATTCTTAGCTCAGTAAGAAGGCAGATGAAATTCAGTTTTATGCTGATAGTAACAATCCTGAGCACTTCTATGATGCCTTGAAGGCTATTTATGGGCCAAAGACCTATGATACATCTTAACTACTCAGTGCTGAGGGAGCCACATTGTTTAATGATAAAGACATGATCCTAGAGAGATAGGCTGAACACTAATAGTGCTCTCAACAGCCCATCACCAATCAATGATGAAACTATTGACCGTTTACCTCAGGCTGAAGTCAATGCCTCTCTAGTTGAATTTCCAACTGAGGAAGAGGCTTTAAATGTCATTAGGCTCCTCTCATGTAGCAAAGTGCCTGGTGCTAATTCTATTCCAGCTGAGATTTGCAAAGCAGGGGCTCCACTGCTCATACATGGTTGGAAGTTTTCCAGGTTATATAGCAAGAGGAGGTTATCCCCCCAGGAACTCAAGGATGCTTCCATTGTCCATCTCTATGAAGGTAAAGGAAATAGATTGTCCTGTAGCAATCACAAGGGGGTCTCTTTCTTAGTCATTGTTAGCAAAATTCTTGCCAGGGTCCTCCTTAATAGGCTGATTCTTTACCTAGAAGACGGTTATCTACCTGAGAGCCAGTGCAGCTTCAGAAAGGGCCAAAGAACAGTCGATATGATGTTCGCTGCTGACAACTCCAAGAGAAATGCCAGGAGCACAACAGAGGTCTATTCACAAGGTTTGTCCATCTGACCAGGGCCTTTAATACTCTCAGGTTGTGAGGGCTTGTGGAAAATTATGTCAAAATTTGGTTGCCTGTATTGTACATCAATTTCATGACAGCATGATAGCATAGGTTCTGGATAATGGATGATGTTCTCACACTTTCCCAGCCACCAACAGAGTAAAGCAAAGCTGTGTGCTTGCTCTGGTGCTTTTTAGCATGATGTTTTCAGCAATGTTGCCAGATGACTTCGAGGATGAAAATGTCATCAAGGGTAGCTACTACATTGATGGTAAATTATTTAACTTGGAAAAGCTACAAGCTAAGACTGAAGTGGAGGGAGAATTGGTGCATGAATTTTTTTTTTTTTGTTCACAGGTGATTGTGCACTCATAATGTAGCCTCTGAGGCTAAGATGCACCAAAAAACTTAGCTGCTGCTTCTGCTAATTTTGGCCTAACAATTAACACCAAGAAAACACAGATTCTCCAACAGCCAGCACCATACCATCCATACATGGAACAACTGGTTACAGCAAATGGAGGAACTGTGAATGTCACAAATAAGTTCACCTACTTTGGCAGTATACTTTCCAGGGATGTTCACACAGATGATGAGGTTGATGCACACATTGTGTCAGTGTTTGAGAAGCTCCAAAGGAAAGTGTGGCAGAGAGAAGGTATCAGGCTGCCTACCAAACTGTAGGTCTACAGAGCCATCAAGCTGACCTCATTGTCGTATGCCGGT